TTAATCATTGTGAAAGAGTTGATTGCCTTGTATTTCTGAGAAGAGAGGGTCACGGATTCCCAGAGCGACATTGCTCACTGAAGTCTATTTCAAGGGCCGTAGGCCATCCTGAACCATTTCCCGCCCCCAACCAAATCCTTCTAATTTTCTTTTTAAAGTCAATGTCTACTTCATAGTATAAAGGAGTTTCAGAATAAGAACCTTAGAGTTGACTGGCTTCATATATATATATATTTTTTTATAAATGAGTTTTACCAGGGGCTCTCTGCCCTAAATTCTAATTCTGTTCCCATCTTGGAGCCTCCCAGGTTCACACTGACCTATTTCCCTGTGCTTCTCCTCCCCCATCCATCCCACACCTCCATGCTCAATCCCTCACTCTCCATCCTGCCCCTGCCCTCCTCCGTGGGCCACTTCACTCCCAGGATAGCCTGTTTTCATTACTTGTCGTTGGCCTATTCTCCTGTTATGCATAATTTTAAAGATGTAAAACAATTTTTCTTCAGAGTTTGAAAACTGTTTATGTATGACTAAGTAAAATGCTTCAGTTGTTAAGGGCAAACATCCAAATGTTAATTATTTTTTGGATTTATTTATTTTTCCTATGATAGACATATAAACTGAAATATTGTCTTATGTACTATGTAGCATGTATCATGGGACACTCTTTTTAGGCAAAAAGAAAGCTGTTAAAGGCTGAATATCCTTCAGCATGTTTAAAATAAAACATATTAGGGCATTTTAACATTAACTGCAACTAAAATTCTCTAGATTTAAAAAATCTGCTATTAATAGTCTGATGCAAACCAATAGAAGGAAAAAGGTTTATTAAAATATGGGAAAAATAACTTTGCTAAAGGTATGAAGTTGTATTTAATCTACTTTCCTTGTATTTTTTATTTTTATTTATTTTTTAAATTTTTATTGATTTCAGAGAGGAAGGGAGAGGAAGATAGAGACATCAATGATGAGAAAGAATCACTGATGGCTGCCTCCTGCATGCCCCATAGTGGGGGGGTCAAGTCTGCAACCTGGGCATGTGCCTGGGAATCAAACCGTGATGTCCTGGTTGGTAGGTCGATGCTCAACCACTGAGCCATGCTGGCCGGGCTCCTTGCATTTTTTAAGTGAGAAATTTTCCTAGTGTTACCAGAAAGCAGTCCTGTCCCTGAACAGGTCTGCCTAAGGCCAACCCTATAGTGTGGGGTTCTTGACTTCATGTAGGAAAAATGTCACAACACAAGCCCAGGTGAATTTTAGAGACTTATTATTTATTAAAGCTGGGGACAGTGAAACAAGGAAGGGCTGGGGAAATGAGCCCAGGCTGGTCTGCTTTGGCTCACTAAGAAGTTAGAGAAAAGGAGCCTTGGGGACAGGTTCGGGGGGTTTGTTTGGGATGAACTACCATAGACCATTGCTGTCCTGGTTGCAAGCCTGTGGAGTCCCTTAGGTTTAGGAGATGCATGCGTATGGGGGAAGAAGGTGGGGAGAGGGGACAGCATGCTCCTGGGAGGGAGAGTGAGGACTGGGATCCTTGTTTTGAGAGGGGTTTTAAAGGCTGGGAATTTAGGGGTAGTCTAAGCGGGGGAGGGGATCTCAGTAGAATATTCATCAGCTTTATGCTGATGCACCAACATAAGGTTTAGTCTCTTAACTTCATCTGTCCTTGGGTGTGGTTGGAAAATGGCACTAATTGGACGTCTGCTGTCTATCTTCCTAAGTAGGATGATTTAAGCTACTTACCCTTTGGTTAGAGAGAAGTACAAACCATTCACTCTTCAGTGTCCCTGGTTTATGAAAGATAGGATTTACTGGATGGCTGCAAACTGCTGTTTAACTGTCTCAGTTTCCCTGTTTCGCTTGTCCTGGCTTACTGGCCTGTCTCACTGGTACCACTGTAACCATAATAATATGTACTCTGGAAATCAAAGACCTCAGACATGAAATGAATGATTTGGATAAAAGGGGAAGAAGGAAATACTGTGTGAAAATATTTTAAAGGAGCCCTGGGGAATCAGAAAGCTCAGCCATTGTGAAACTCTGTTAGTTTAGCCTTAAGTAAAACAGTAGAAATAACAGTAATTTTGGTCATAACAAAGAGGAAGAGAAAACTGAGAGTTCAACAAAGGCAGAAACAGCTTTTGCTCCAACGGTAAAGCTTCAGAAAACTACACTTTAAATGTACACAGCCCAAGGGAATAGAGCAGGGGCCTTCTCTGCTAAGCTAACCTGAGTAAGTCGTCACACGTTCACACACGTGGCAGTAGGACAATCACGAGTATCATATTTGGCGAACTTTGCTGCCAGACATATTTAAATACTATATGAGCATGACTCAGTATCTTTAAACAGAGGGGTTTTGAAATGACATTTTGCTACTCACTGGAATAAATACAAGTCCATGAACTTGGAACCCTCTAAATCATTGTAATGGTTAAAGTCATGCAAAACTTGACAGATCTTAGCTTATGAAAGCAATATTTTATCTAAAGGACTAAGCAATATCTAAGGTTCTCTCTAGTTTGAGGATATTATGTCCAGCCGTATGTCTATTTTCAGGAAGCTTATCAGTCTGGGGCCTGAGACAACAGAAGACAGTGAATGATGAGCTCTGTGGTTCAGGGAGAAAAAAAACAAGGTATAGATCTAGCAAAGAACAAAATAGTAACAGTAATGGCAAAATAAAACATATAATTCTTTCAACCCATAGTTGGTAGTCCCTATAATAGAGCAGGTTTGTATAAATGATATAATTCTTTCTCCATGTAAGAAGCAGCGCTAACATAAATTGACCAGTAACTATATGCTACATACAGTTCTAAGTACCTTTCCCAGCATTATCTTCTTTAACCCTCACACACCTTTACGATCTATTACTAATCGTCTACTGTTGCAGGTGAAAGAAAAGGAAGCACAGAAGGGTGAAATCATGTTCCGAAGACCCACAGGCAGGAAGCACTGAAGTTGATAGCCAACTCAGGTGGCCTTACTCGAGAGTTCAAGGCACTAATCACGGCAGATGGCAAACTGTTGAGCAGTTTGAGCCCCACCCAGGGCTCACTGGGAAGCTTGGCCAAGTGGCCGGCGGTCAGCTCTGAGAGGAGCTCAGTTGGCTGAAGGAGATGCGGTTCAGGACACTGAGGATGACTGTGGCTACCTGAACTACGACAGAGGGAATGAATACCAAGTTCAATTTTGAAAAGTGAGTTGGGGAAGTAAGGAAAGTCAAAAGCAGCATACGTGCGGAGTTCCTCTGACTGTGCCCTGTCCTTTCTAAAGGCCGTGCCCCTTTCTGCTCCCACTCACAGCATTACGCGATCTTCGGAATTCTCCACTGTGGGTAAGGTGACTTTTATTACTGAGATAGCCATCTTTTTTAGTAGTTAGGACCTCAGTAAATGAGGTCAGTCTGCTTAAAAGATTTTCATATATCCATAGATTTTTAACTCAGTGATTTATCTCTAACAGCAAGTGGCAGAATCTACACAGGCCACCATATATCAGATGGAAAGTTTCCATGTAAACAGATCATGTTTACCATTGGTCATATTTTTCTTTTTGGTTAGATAATGCCATACTTTGAGGGATGAAGCAACTGTTCCATTAAGTACAAATATGAGAGTGTTTTTGCTTTATTGAAAAAAAAAATTGGAAATTATGTTTCTTCACTTAAAAAATCTATATAATAAAGTCCTTCCTTTTCTTATATTAATTCAATGTTCTAATTTAATATTCTCAGAAATAATAAAATATTTCTGTGGCCCATCTGTTTCCAAACCAAATCATTTTATTTCTCCATTTGGTACATAAACTATTACTGCTCCTGAATAAATATGAATATACCACTTTGTAATGATTTCTGCATCTCCAGAAATTTGGACTGAATTTTAAAATATGGTGAATCACTAGAAAATATCAAGAAACAATGCATAATCTTGAAATATAAGCAAAAACTAAATTTTATCTCTGGGAAAAATTTTGCACAAGAATGATTCATTCTGTTTTCTTGAAAGAAATGTAGACATTTTTAACATCGCAGTGCTACAACTGCATGTTCTTACTAAAAGGAGACTTCAAGTAAAAGCCCAGGGAGGAAGGACATCAGAGACTTATATTTTCACCTGGCAAAATGAGTGCCTGGTTAAAATCATGGCCCTTGCAAAAGAAACCTTATTGCTTAACCATTTCATTACCTGACTTCCTCTAAGCAAAGAATACGATCTGTGTTGCCAATAATAGTACTGGGAAAACACAGATTCTGAAAGTATGGGGAAACCCATCCTACCTTGAAATTCTAATTTAAGAGGATGTTACAGGCCATTGTGAGGACAGCATATGAAAAACAAAGGTATGCAAACTCGAATTTTATAGCCTAAAAACAAAGATAATAGAAAAGAGCCTAAACTTGTGCAGCCTGTTTGCATATTCTCAGAACAAATGCTGGGAATGCATGAGAGACTCAAGTCCAATGAAAAAAAAGTATGGGAGGTAGGATTGTGGGTCATTAATTTTCTTTCTTTTTCTATTTTCCATTTATTTCTTACGATGAACATATGCTACTTTTATATTTTGTTTTTTTAAAAAACTTTTTAAATATTACTTTTGTTTCTCCAACTATCAATATCTGCTTATGGCAACTGAGCATGCCAGGCCTGTTCTCTGGTAGTTGATGCAAAAAGAGAGTGAGATGAAAATCTAGACAATCTCACCAGATTTCAGGGTGAGTTAAAACTTCAATAATTCCTTACATTAACATAAAAATAATTTTTTAATTTAAATTTTATTTTTATCAAGCAAAGTGGACAAGTTACCTCTAATATTTAACTCTCCTTAAGCTATGTATCAAGAGACCATAATATTAGGTTAAATAAGTAAAATACTTTCTGATGATGTTGGCTTTGACTGGAAATATTCCATTCACTGAAATATATTTTCCATGGAAAATTTTGGAATCATTTTATCACAATTATTTCAGGAATTGAAAAGGTTACCATAATAAAATTCATATTGTGACTAGAGTATTGCCTTTGTAACGAATGCATTTACAGGCTCATAAATTTGCATGTTGCAGAAGGATGGCTGTGGAGTTGCTTTAGCTTGTATTTGCATTGAACAGAATGGAAGGCATTTACGAAAGGTTTTAGTTAGAGCGCTGATGTGCTGAAGAAGAAAGGGCACACTGCTGTGTAGAAATCACAGCGGAAACAATTGCATCCCTCATTCAAATTCTTAAGAAAACTACTAATAGACTAGAAGAATGTTTTAACTTCTTAAACCTGAAGGGTGTATATCTTAAAATCATAGATCATAGTCTAAACACATTACAGTCAAACTGATCAAAACCACAAGATTAAAAAAAAATTAAAACATCCAGTGAATGACAACATATTACATTCAGGGTAACAATAATTTTAAAAATCACTGACTTCTTAGAAACTATAGGGATCAGAAGACCATGAAAGAAAAAAAGAATATTCAGAATTCCAGATCTAGAAAACATATCTTTCAAGAATGAAAGAAAGATATTTTTTATTTACAACTGCATATCATTAAGAGAAAAGAGAACTAAGAGATAAACATTGCCAGAGAATCATTGCATTATAAGAAATGCTAAACGAAGCTTTTCCACACTAAAAGAAAATTATCCCTTTGGGAAACTTGGATTGGCAAGAAAAAATGAAAAACATCATAAGTTGTAAACATCAGAGTAAATATAAATTATGTTTTCCCTCTTATTTTTCTTGAAATACATTGTACTATAGGCTTTATTTCATATGTAGAAGTAACATTTTTGAAAACCGTAATGTAAAGGATGGGAGGGGGCATGAGGAAATGGACCTACGCTGATTCTTTTTTTAAAATACATTTTTATTGATTTTTTACAGAGAGGAAGGGAGAGGGATAGAGAGTTAGAAACATTGATGAGAGAGAAACATCGATCAGCTGCCTCCTGCACACTCCCTACTGGGAATGTGCCCTCAACCAAGGTACATGCCCTTGACTGGAATCAAACCTGGGACCCTTCAGTCTGCAGGCCGACGCTCTATTCACTGAGCCAAACCGGTCAGGGCTGATTCTTGTTTCTATAGTAGTCTTTGAAAACTTACAAGTTATTCATTGTAATGCCCAGAGTCACCACTAAGTCAATAGATAAATTAATATTGATTTCTTAAAATTTTTCAAATAATCTCAGAGAAGTCAGGAAAGGAAGAACAAGCAAATAAAGAAGAGAAGGGATATGAGGAAAATAAGTAACATGATGGCGTAGTTTTTATCTAATGAGGTCAACTATCACATTAAGTGTAAGTGGTCTAAACATTCCAAGTAAAAAAAAAAACAATAGAGATTGTCAGAATTTAAAGGAAAACCTAAGTGTATGAGGTCTGTAAGAGAAGCACTTTAACAACAAGACACAGGTAGGTTGAAATAAATGGATAGAAAATATATATCATTGAAAAATGGGCATAAGAAGACTGGCTTGGCTATATTAATATTAGAAAAAGTAGAGGTCAAACAAAGACTTGTACTAAGATAAAGAGGGACAAATCATGGCAATTGAAAAAGTATATATTTGCTTAATATCAGAACTTCAAAATATATGAAGAAAAAATTGACTTAATTAAAAAGAAACAAAAGATAATTCTACCACCAAAAGTAGAGATTTTAATGCTCCTGTCTCAGTAATTGATTGAACCACACTAGCTCCTACTCTCACCAAAAGAGCCACTAGGCACAGACCCTCATCTAGGAGGCTCTTCATTAGATGAGCTGCTGTAGGAGGGACACTATATCTTTATAACCCCATTGATGACACAAAAATAATTAAAAAAAAATTTTTAGATGAGTATTCCTGTTTCCATTTCTTTACATGTTCTGCACTAGTGTTTCTTGTAACCATTTCTCCAGCTCTGAGAAGTGGCCGAGTATCATTTTCCTGGACCTGTCCTGTATAGATCCCCCTCCCATTCCTTTTTAGTTATGGAACTTCGAGAACCATTTATTTTTTAATTGTAACATTTTATTCTCCACAGCTTCTTCACAATACATGTGCTGTGGCTCTTAATAGCAGTCTTAGCCAGTGGATGGCTTGCTTATTTTGTGGTTGTTCTACTAATGGAACAAAATGATGGAATTGAATAGGCCAATTCACTCTCATGTTTATTCATCTTTCTTCAAAAGACATAAAACAAGACAGAACAATTCTGTTGACAGACGAAATTGATAATAACTTTAGACCATAAGCCTGGTCTTTGAAAAGAAGGCATCAGAGAGTTTTTTACTCCTCTCCTGAACCCCTCTCGCTTCTGCTAATAAGCATGGTCTCTGACTCTCTTTTCTGAAGAAAAGATTAAAGCACAAATTTAGCCCACGCTGCTTCTCACAAGAGCTGCTTCTTCCTAGGAAGTGAAATAAAGAACTGGGCATGCAGGCTCTTAGTCTTACGCGTCAGCCTCGCATTTTCTGGCTATGAGCTTTAAAGAAGTTGGCTCACCCCTTTCAGCTTCTGATCTCATCTCTCACTCAGGGAGAGGGAGGACAGGCTGCTCTCCTCTTTCATGGGCCTGCCATAAACACTGAATTAGATTTTTTGTGAATGTACTTTGTGAAGCTAGGAGGCTTAATACAATTAATAGGTGTCAGCACTGGTTCTCCATTTAATTAGAAAAGGTGAAAGCACTAGTAGTACTCTCTCAATTATTTTACCTCTTTTGCTCAGCCTCCCCCCTTCAGGTTCAATGTCTTTACTTGGTGTAATTAGGCCTATGACTCAATGTGTTTGTGAAAAGGAATGAAAAGATATCTTCTATTTCCTATAATAACATATCCTACCCTTTATCTGAGTATAATTACACAACCTGAAGCATATTCTCTGATCTTAGAAAGTGGCATTCCTCTGGTTCTGATTAGATTTATACAACTGGATTGATAGAATAAGTCATACCTGCCTTACACGAAGCATTCTAAAGTGTGACTTACCTGAGGATTTTTAGTCCCTTCCTTTCCCTGGAAGACAAACTGGGATGGGTTTACTTGCCCTCCTTATCCTGTTTCCCTGTCACCCACTCCAGGAAACAAACTCATTTCTCTGTCCCCCCCACCCCCACCACAACACTTGAATATACTTCGAAATCCAGAAAGCTGCACCTGATGGTATATATGCTGTAGCTACTGAAAAAGATGTCATAAAGGGTCCTATATCATTAAAAAAAATAACTGTGAAGTATATTCAAGTAATGGACTAGGTATAAACAAGCAAAACCCCAAATTTCCCTTAAGCCTTGTCTCTGTGCAGCACTTTACTACAGAACACTTTCTGGGCATCGCAGGACCAGAGAGCATTTTCCCCATAATACCTGAGTCATCATTAGTCCAGAAGGTTCTGTGATCAGGCTTGGTCAGGATGTTGGCATGAGTACATGGTTCTTTCACCTTGAAAACATAAGGAGAAAAGAAGTAATGTAAAGATGGCTTCATGATTGCAGCTGTGTCGGGGGTACAGTTCTACAGGCAAGATTCCAAGGTTGACTCTAACACACATGGCTCATCTCTACCCCAAATAGGTGACCAACCACCCCAGGTTGACCAAGACTGACGTGCTTCCCAGGATATAGGGTTTTTAGTCCTGGGCACTACCAGGATGGTTGGTCACCCTAGGTTTGATGCAGTTTTACTGTCAGGGCTCACGGCTGGGTAAGCACATGGGGCTGGGGTTCAGTCCCAACGTGCACCCTCCTCATTCTGTGCTTTGTGCAATCTGCTGTATGCAGAGGCCCTGAATAATTAACAAACTTATTAGTGTAAGAACACTCATCACATACAAGAAAGTGTTTTGGATTTCTGCCTAACAACAATGGTACTTTTAGTCTATTATATACTTGGAAAATATATATATTAAGGAAGAACTAATTTTAATTCAGTAATGCTTTAAACCCTTTCCCCGGCAGAAACGTGTATACTCGTTTTCACAAAATGTTCTTTTTCAGTTGTCGACAAGTATACTAAGAAAATATGGTAAAAAAATATGGTTTATAGGAAGACGAGTTACAAACTGTTTTCATAACCAGCATAAAAAATACTACATAGAACCAAAATAAAAATATTAGTCTGAAAAAGAAACGTTTTTAACAAAAAAATTGTTGGGGAAGGGGTTAAAATAAATTCTTCTTTTATAATCATAACTAGTGGCCCAGTGCACGAAATTCGTGTGGGGCGGGGCGGGGGAGGGGGCTGTCCCTCAGCCCGGCCTGCACCCTCTCCAATCTGGGACCCCTCCAACTGGCACCCCTGCTGGTCTGCTTACCCCCAACGGCCCACCCTCCATCAGCCTGATCACCCACAACTGCCGTCCCATCCTGGCCTGATCACCCACAACTGCCCTCCCCTCTTGGCTTCTAACCACCTCTACCTCGGCCCCGCCACCATGGCTTTGTCCAGAAGAATGTCTGGAAGGTCCCCTGGAAAGTCTCCCAGTAATATGCTTTTCTAATTAGCATATTACCCTTTTATTAGCATAGATAGAGGCCCGGTGGGGGCTGGCTGGTTTGCCCTGAAGGGTGTCCCAGATCAGGGTGGGGGTGCTTGGCCAGCCTGGGTGAGGGGCTGAGGGCCGTATTCAGGCTGGCCACACTCCCTTCAGGCTGGGGTTCCCACTGGGTGCTTAGCCAGCCTGGGTGAGGGGCTGAGGGCCGTATTCAGGCTGGCCACACTCCCTTCAGGCTGGGGTTCCCACTGGGTGCTTAGCCAGCCTGGGTGAGGGGCTGGTGGCCGTTTTCAGGCTGGCCATGCCCCCTGGTGACCCAAGCTCCCAGCCTCTCCTTTTTTTCTTTTCTTTTTTTTTTTTTTTTTTTAGCGCCTCCTTTAGCAGAGGCCAGGGTGGGCTGGAAGCAGGTATCTGGGATTTATTTATCTTCTATAATTGAAACTTTGTAGCCTTGAGTGGAGCCCAGGGCCAGCAGGGCAGGCGGGAAGCTGGGCGTCCTCCATCGCCGGGAGCAACCCAAGCCTCCTGCTCTCTCCAGCTCCATGGCCACTGCCATCTTAGTTAGGTTAATTTGCATATTCACTCCTGATTGGCTGGTGGGTGTAGCAGAGTGGTGGAGTGATGGTTAATTTGCATATTTCTCTTTTATTAGTGTAGACATTATATATATATATTTTAATCCTCACCTGAGGATATTTTCTCCTTGAGTTTTAGAGAGAGTGGAAGGGAGAGAAAGACAGAGAGAGAAACATCAATGGAGAGACACATCGATTGATTGCCTTCCCACATTCCCTGATGAGAGCCGGGGATTGAGCCTGCAACAGAGGTACATGCCTTTGACCAGAATCAAACCGGGACCCTTCAGTCCATAGGTTGATGCTCTTTCCACCGATCCAAACCAGCTAGGGCCAGAATCTATATTTTTAAATAGTAGCACATGTATATATGTAATATGTATTATTTGTTTATAAAGGTTCTGCCTAGTGCACATCCAACTAATAAATTTCTTACAGTAAGTTCCAGGGAGCAGCAATTATCCTTCCTTTTTCAACTTTCTACTATTGTGATGTGTGCTTTTTCAAATATATTCTCAATCAGGGAAATATAAATCTTATTGTTCAAAAGGATGTTCCATTTAAATTTACTTTATAGTGAGATAATTTGATTACTGTGGAAGTCTCTAGTATTTATTATTTATTGGATAAATTCCTTCCATTGAAAAGGACTAAAAAATATCACTATATATATTGTTTAGTTCCATTGACTTGTTTTTCCATAACAAGTCTTTATTGATGAGGGACACATTGTCCATTCATGTGTCCATAGACATTTAAGTTGTTTCTTCATTTTAGCTATTGTGAATAATATTTTGTCCTCTGTTCATTCCACTGTTTGGTTGATTTGAATATTAGGTTTTTATTATATAGTATATCTCAAATATTTGAAAGTAGCTATTCTGTGTCACCGTAGTCTTCCATTCCCAGGTTAGCAGCCCTTTTCCCTTTTGCTGTTCCTTATGAAATGATTTTGTCTTGTTACAGAGATCACTCTGCACCAGAAGTTATCCTCTCTGGCATGTGAGCTAATCCCCTGGGAGTTCCCAGGCAAGGGCCAGATAACAGCCAATGAAATACGGAATTGGTTTCGAGAGACAACTCTTGGGGAAGACTATAAGCATTATTTCCAGATGTGAGTAATTAAAATTTTTCTAAGAATTATAAACAATTCTCTATTACTTAGCCACTTTTTAATATTTTTTATTCTAAAAAGTCCTAATTGATTTTATAACTATAGACCTATTTAGGAAAACTGCTGCATATGAGCATTTTTTCTGCATTGAGCTCTAATTACTTTTGTCCTTGTGTCAAACAGTTGTCATTCTTCCAACTCTCATTTACTTATGAATGATTTTTTGTCACTAAATGTTCGAAATATTTTCTACAGGTTGAAGCTGCTCCTGTTAAATTCAGGGCCATGGAGAATTTATTCTTGCTCTTTGGGTTTTTATTGTGCAATAGAACATGCGATTCTCCATGAACCCCAAGCTCCAAAGTACCTACAGCAAATTATCTAAACCTCCTGGCCAAGGACACACCAGGGGCAGCAAAATGGAGACAGTGGAGTCCATATAAACCCATTAATTACTGTATATACTGCAACAACTTATCAACAATGCCCTACAACTGACTCCTGTAGTTTTAGGTGCTTCACATAAGTGAGAAAATTCACTATCGGCTGTCAATCCTGCTCAGCCTTCACAGAACCCTGTGGCTGAAGAAGTGACTAGCATCTTGAATTTGACCTTTGATCCCTGGCTGAATCCACAGTGGGCTCTTTGGTTCTTTCCTTCTTTTCCTAGGAAAGGCTATACAGCAATATATATATATACCTTGGAAGTGTGATAGAGAGGGGTGAAAAGGTAATAATATAACAAGAGAAGCAGAACATTATGGAGTGTTCAAACATTTCATTATGAACAATTTCAAGCATACACAAAAGTAAACAATATAATATATCTCTGTAGCTATCATCTAGTTTTAACAACTATCAACATTTTTTCAGTCTTATTTCATCTATCCTCCCTTTTATAGACTGGAACATTTTAAAGCAAATTCCAGAATCATGACATTTCATCTGTAATTTCTTTAGGAATGTATTTCTAACAGAAGATATTTTTTTTTGGCATAACTATCATGCCATTATTACAACTAACAACTTCAACAATAATTAGATTTATTAAAGTTTAATGAGGGTCATTAAAGATTATTTATTTTATAACAGCATGTGCAGTCTGAAAAAGAAAAGTACTTCTACTGTTTTGCATACAGAACCATTTGAAACTAATGAATAAAAATGATCCTTTAACATTGTGAGTTCTATAAAGTCAATGGAACTTCTGACTTATGTAAATCCTTATAGGTTTATTTTTGGGGGCGGGAAGAAGCCATCATAAAAAGTCATTTTTCTAATAGAAATGGCATACGTTTTCAACTTATTTCCAATGCATCCTTGGAGAGAAACGAGATAAAATTTCCTTGCTTGGTAGAATTGAAAGTGTTGGAGTGTGAAGGTGAAAGGAAGAGGGTCATTTCTGGAGGGTCACTGTTGATTGCTTAATCCCTATAGTTTTGAAATCCAGAGTGCTTTAATAAATTATTATAACATTAAGTCATTAGAAAGATAGGGGCAATTGAATAAGGAGAGAAGGATTATAAAATTAAAGTGAGGGTATATCAGAATATCACATGTAGGGAGATGTGAGCTATCCAGAAATTTTGGATAAGCTCTGGGAATAAATCCTTACAAATTCCACTGATATGAGAAATTAACCAAAGTATTAATTCTACAAAATGCCTACAATTGTTGGCAAGTTGCAGTATTGGTAAGATTGCTAGAAAGGCAACAATTATGATCATCTTTCTCTGTTCCCTCTTACCCTGATTTAAAGAACATTGGTCCCAAATCATTAAATATAGATGCCTATCCACATTGAAATGCTGATATAGGAAAAATAAGTCAGAACATATGGACTTCTTCCTGATTTACTTTTGAGTTAATCATAATAATTTGTATATGACTTTCCATAAATCATTTTAGCAGTAAATGCTAAAGTCATTAGTCCTTCTTAAAATATAAACAGAAATTCTCAAAATGCTTGTCTCTTATTAGCCAAGGCAGTTGGTTCCCTCCCATCTCAGGTTACCTGATGTTCAAAAGCAACCAAGAGCTCTTTATATGTAGGAAAATGTAATTTTGCTTCTCAAACTGCTTTAATGAGGCTTTAGAAAATGTCCCCTGAACACTATTACAGGATGTAAAGTGATCCTGCAAATACTAATTTGAATTCAGTTCTGCGTATTCAGGAGAAACAAAAGTCCTCCTTGATTGTTTGTCTTGGATGGCTCCGACAAGTATTTCAGGAGCTTTTGTTTACTTCCCAAATGCTGCC